AAGACAAGTCTGTGGAAAAATGATAACACTAAAGAAAAGTAAATTCATTGCTTAAAATTGTTGTAATGGCCACATGATGTCTGCATGTATCTCTAGGGAATAAACAGCCTTTCATCACTTTTTAATGTGTCTTTCTATCTCTTCATGAGCTCTGAACTCAGTGTTAGAAAAATTAGTAGGTAGAATAATCTGGCAGCTACAGGTCACTTCTTTCATAAACCTTTTCTTAAACTGCTTTCCTTTACCCAGTATATAACATAACCACAGCTACAGGGGAAGCTTGTCTATGACATATCATTTTATACTTACATGGCTTCCTAGACTTATTATAATTATAATGTTGACTAGTGTTCCTTGGGAATGCTTAATGGCAGACTTAATATCATTCATAACTCTTAGCTAGTGTAACATGTAATGGAACAGAATGATTTTACTGAATGACTCACAGGCGGTTGGATGAATATACTATTCTGTATATTTAGCAGGGTATCATACTAAATCTGAAGTCTTACCAGATCTGTTATAGTGGGCAGTCAAAGTGTGACTTTTCCACATGCTTTAGACATTGAGCATGAATTCCTTATGCTTAACATTGCTAAATACTGCTGTTTACTGACTACTATTGAATGGAATGAATGGATATGTCTTCAGACCTGGATCAATCATTTTTGTATAACTATGGCTATCTTTCTTCTATCTTTATTATATACTATTAAACATCATATCTATGTATAATTTCTTATAATTCACATTTTATGTATAGTTGCCTTACTTATTTTGAATTCCCCAAAAAGATACTATTACAAGAATAATCAATTTCTAGACCCTTACTAATAGTTTTTGAAGTGGGTGGTAAAAACATAAATTTTCAAGAAAATTTAGCTGTATGCATAATATGAAAGAAAATATCAAATGTTAGAACTATGTATGATCTAGTCAAACACTAAATGTAAATTAGCTTATATTTGTAAAAAGGAAGCAGTACTAATATTCTGTGTGCTGGAATTCTATCTCAACTTCTACCTAAAAAAGAAATACTAATTATTTTAAGATCTCTATTTTATTTTAAGATCTCTATTTTTGATCATATGAGTGATATTTCACAAATTTGATATTTGAACATCTTTGATAAATATATATGACTGAAAATTTTAAACACTAAGTTATAATTGTTAACAGAGATATAATGAATACCTTGTTAATAAACTTTTTTCGAGTGAATCTAGATTTATTCTTTAGCCACAACATGTATCTGAAGTTTGACACTGACTTTTCTTGTGGCTTATAAAATCAACCTTATTTTTTTCTAGCCCACTTTCAAACCAATGGTTTGTTTTATTATCTGTTTTAGGAGAACTACTTCCTATAACTCAAAATTAAGATAATCTAAACAGGTTTTTCATTACATTTAAAAATCGATTATAGTTAAAGCTGGAATTTTGTAAATACAACTTTTCTAAATAAAATAAAGGATGCCTTAGTTCCTCTTTAAAAGGAGCCGAGGATTCCCAATTCTCCATCTGTAGCTTCTCCTGGATAACCAATCCATGAAGTAGAAGGGAAGGACTTCTTCAGAACAGGCACAGTATTAGCCAATGCAAAGCTGCCGTCTTTGCCTGGTGAACTGTTTTTATGATTTGTTTTGCTTTGTTTTACCCAATGCTTTTTCTAGTGCATTTCTAAACTTTGTTGATGGAAATAAGAATAAAAATATGGTGATGAAGTGATATTCAGAGAATAATATAAAAATAACTTATTCACGAAATATATTATGTAGAAGATAAATAAAAGAATCATAATCATTTCAGTTTTAAATTCCTCGAACACAAGAGGTAGAAGGTAGACTATGATGAGTATTTAGGACATTTGCTGTGAAAATGCTATCAGAGTCACTCATAAATTTTATGGTTTTGTTTTTTTCAATTTGTTTAAAGTTACATGATTTTCTAGGTTTATTTCATGTATTTCTCATTTTATAACTACCAAAGGTGACCAGGATTGAGACTCTAAGAGATCTGTCATTTATTAAAATACCAGGTAGCATGTAAGAAGAAAAAAATCCCCCAAATAATTGGGATTTCAAAATTACAGGAAGAGTCAATGTAACCATCTCCCCTTGCCCAGTGATCTTTTACAGTACCTGTTGCTCCATCATTTGAAATTTATTCAGTTTAAAGCTAAGGATGGCAAAACATGAGCACTTCTTGGAGTGACAACATTTTAGGCTGTTAACTGTGGTTTATTATATCATCTCTTTGAATGCCAGGACCAGGTTTTGTTCGGCTATATGGAGAAGACTGTTCACAGATACACTATACTTCTGGGAGAGGGTGTGCCAACCATAGAAATAGACCAGGAACAAACAGTGGGTTCTGGGCAGAGGACAATTCCATAGGATTCATACATTTACCAGGGCTGGTTCCATTCACTCTAGCCACAGAGCATTCAGTCACATCCTTGAATGTTCTCCTTGTCTGTATTTTTTTTTTTAACCAAGGTCTTCTAAACATTTTAGTTGCCATGTAATGTTTTCCCTTGTACTGTTTCACTCTGCCCACAAACTGATTCATCTACTTTGTCTCATTCTTAGGATTTTACACATGAATATCTTCAGAGGAAAGAAAAGCATGAACTTACCTGATGTAACAGATTTTTCTGTTATTTTAACTGAATTCTGATTCTCAGCTTTAGAGGGAAGAAAAGAAAAGAAAATTACTAAAATCAAATGTTGAATATGATATCTACTCATAATTGTTTTAGGTGGCAAATGGACATAGAACTTAGCTCATTTCTGATTCACTTTTTCTCAAATTATAAAATCATGAGGCTTCATGATTAAAAGATACTTTAGATCAGGGGTCAACAAACTTTTTCTTAAAGGGCCAAACAGTAAATATTTTAGAGATGGTGGGCCCTAAGTCTCTGTAGCAACTACTCAACTTTGCCATTCTAGTCTGAATGTAGCCAAACATAATACCTGAAGTATAGGTACATCTCTGTTCCAAGGAAACTCTATTTAGGAAAACAGGTGGAAGCTGGATTTGGCCAGTGGGCCACAGTTTGCTGAATCCTGCTTTAGAGCATCTGGTATACCCCCATATCTTGAATATGCCAAAAATAAGACAGACAACTACAGATCCTTTAGTACGTGCTTCATGAGTGGTGCTGCCATGTGTCCTATTCCTATTAAGATCTGAGGCATCTCCTGACCTGGAGAAGATTCAGGAAAGTTTAGGCAGATACCTTTGAAACTTAAGGAATTCCTTTAAAGTAAATACAGTCCAGAAGAGCTTTCTACAAGTAAAGTTACTTGAGAGAACTATAATCAAAGTTCACTTTAACAACTTTGAGTATATGCACCTTGAATAAGATTTGTCATGTTTAAAATATTTTGCCTTCTTTCTATCTTCACTTGACTGTCTTTCAGAATCTCAAATTTAACATGCTCAAAACAAAACTCTTAACCGGTAGCCTTAAATCTGCCTCTTTCCCCACTTTCTCGATTCAGTGTATACTAAATTTTCCCCTAGTTGCAAAAGCCAAAAAAGTAGTGGCCTCTTTGGATACTCTTCTTTTTCTCACCCCTATCAGCTCTAGCTTCGAAATATATTCCAAATATGTCTCACCACTTAATCAGCTACTGTTCATTTGGAACGCATAGTTTCCCCCTCAGTACTTGAAACAGCTACCTAGAAAAATCTTTTTAAATTTAAACTTGGCTGTTCCACTGGCTCTCTATTCTTCTGACTAAGGCTGGTAAGTCTTCACAGGACATGGGCCCTTGCTCTTCAGTTCATCTCCTACCATGCAGCCCATTTAGATCAAAAAGGAAGGGAAGGGGGCGCCTGCTTCAGGCTTCTCTACTTGCTCTTCCCTAAGTCTCAGTGTTATTCTCTCACACCTATATGAGCTTCCTTTTACTCTTCACGACGCTGCTCAGATGTCACCACTTAGAGAAGTTTCTTCCAACCAACTTATATAGCTGTCTCGTGTCCCTTCACACTAGTCCACCACTCTGCTTCATTTGCTCAACAGTACCTTCTTACTACAGTGACACTTCCTTTATTAAAAATTTTGTTGTTGTTGTCATCAGAATGTAGACTTTATGGGGACAGAGATTTCTTTTTCTTTTTACTTTTTAAGTTAAATTACAGTAGATATATAATATATTAGTTTTGGGTGTACAACATATTGATTCAACATTTATATACAGTACAATGTGATCACCATGATATGTCTAGTAACCATCTGTCACCATACAGTTAGTATGATATTATCGACAACTATTCCCTATGATGTACATTATATCACCGTGACTTAATTGTTTTATAACTGGAAGTTTGTACCCCTTCACCTTTTCACCCATCCCCCCACCTCCCTCCCCTCTGGCAACTATTAGTTTGTTTTCTGTATTATGGGTCTGTTTTTTATTCTTTGTGTCTGTTTCTGTTTTTTCTTGTTTTTCATTTATTTTGTTTTTAGATTCCATATATAAGTGAAATTATATTGTATTTGTTTTTCTCTGTCTTATTTCACTTAGCATAATCCCCTTTAGGTCCATCCAAGATATCTTGCTTTACCCAAAGCCTTGATTCCAGTGCCCACTACCAGGACATGGCAAGATAGGTCTCCAGTAAAACCACATGAAATGAATAAATGAGAACAGATATTAATAAT